CAATGTTTTCAAAAGGCTCTCAAGCAAGGCAAGGCAAGGCCGAAGCACCTTGCAAAACCTTGTGTGTGTGTGTGTGTGTGTGTGTACATATATGTATGTATATATGTATGTATATATGTATATAATGTACAAAGGAATAACAAAATTTGTAACTACCATGCAATGTTTTCAAAAGGCTCTCAAGCAAGGCAAGGCCGAAGCACCTTTCAAAACCTTTGAGTGAGGAGTTTCAATGAAGTGCTGCCCAGGCACTGGGTGCCTCGGGCAAGCGCTCAAGCGATGATGGGATCAAGTTTGCACTTGATTTGATTGAACAACCAAGTTGGTTCAATCAAACTACCTAATCTTCCCTAACACAAAACCCGCCCCCGGCCCAATTTGTCTTCGAAGTGAAACCCTATGTACGTCACTGCCACCTTTGTCCGCAGCCACCACCTTCGTCCACAGCTTCCTCCGTCGTCGTCGCCGCCTTCATCAACAACTTTTGTTTATCGCTACTGCCTTCCTATGCAATTTCATCCACCACCGCCTTCGTCCACAGCTTCCTCTGTCGCTGTTACCACCTTCGGCAGCAACTTCATCTGCCGCCCTCTCCTTCCCCCACCTTCCTCCATAGCCACCAGTTACTATACTTCTCAGTTCCCTCTTTACTCCGTCAGTTACTCTATATGATTTCGATTTGATGTGTCATTTTTATTTTTATAATCATATTTATCAACTTTAGTTCATCCCAAAGCAAAATAATTGAGATTTTAGTGTCCGAAAAGATGATACTGACGAAATTATTCAGCCAAAGTAGTCGACAAGTGGTAGGAACTAATCGAACACTGTAAAGTTGCTAGAAATTATCTTTCGGAAAACAGGTAACAGATCTACTACTTTGATTGTTGCAGACAATTGGTTCTCTGAACCTACCAGAAGCTCAAACTAGAGAGAGAGAGGAGAGATATAATACCTGAAGAAGGTTCTTCTCACGGACGGGGGGAGATCTCGCTTGGAGGAGACAGAGAGCGAGAGAGGCACGAAGCCAAAAGACCTGGGAAGAAGCACAGAGGACGAAGGAGGGGGAGGGGCGCGGCGACGTCGGGGTGGCACGGCTGGGGGCGCGACAGTGAGAGGAAAGGAGAGATGGAGATGCACGAAGAAGGAGGGAGGGAGAGAGGGGCAGTGGCGTAGGCTCGGCCGTGGGCGTCGGCGACGACGAGGAGGTAGAGAAAGAGGAAGCGTAACAGCGGAGAAAGGAGAGGATGGAGGGAAGGAGAGAGGGAGACGCAACGTCGGAGGGGGGAGGCGAACCGTCGACCGCCTTTGCACACGGAGGTAGAGGAGGGAGGATCGCCGATCTAGGGTTATGGGGGTCGTAGGCGACGCGGGGCGGGCGTACCGAATCTTCTCCAGATAAAAAAAATTGCCCCAACCAACGGACCGGTCTGAGTATACCTTGGACCGGACCCAGTCCGGTCCAGCAAGTCTTGATCCAGCTAATTTGAACTGAGTAACCCCAATCCCGTTGGACCAGAATGATCTGGACACGTCGGCATAATAATAACAGTTGGTATTATTGACAAATAAATATGTTCGACGGTCTAAACTTTTAATTTAGTTTATAGAAATATTTGGAAATCAGACGGCCACAAAAAAATGCCTTTGGTTTCTTTGTTAGAAATCATATCAATAATTGTCTTGTGATGATTAGATTGAAATGCTCTTTTTTTTCTAACTAAATTAAGAACCAAAATAAACCAGAGTTGATGCCATCATATAAAGTTTTTACATGCTGAAAAAGATCCCTCAACCCCACGAAGAACAATGATGTGAATCAGCCAAAGAAATGCCTCATTTCTTTGAATTGATTGAGGAGAGCGTTCGTATGCTCTTCAATAGTACTGACAAGAGTTCTTTAGTGAGACACGGGTGTTGAGCTTAGCCGGTTTCATGACCACCTTGCACTGCACACCAATCTCGAACTTGGGCTTCACCAGCTTCCCCAAAACATAAGCCCTCGACTTCACCATGAAGCTGAGGCTCAAGGGAACGGTTGCGACACTCCCTGGGGAGCTTGCCAGGCTTGGCCCTCCTCCATATAATGGCACCTTTTTCCCCAGCACCACCACCTCAACATTTCTCTGGCTCTTCCTTGACTGGTAGAAGTTGTTCATCTGCAGCAGTGTCAGTGTGAGAAGATCTTTCATTGAGAGAGAGAGGTTGTTCTTCTTACATCTCCGCCGGCCAAGGTGAGTTGGTCGTAGCTGAGAACGAAAGGCGTTGCGCTAACGTGGACGCCGAAGAAAGTCCCGGTGTTGCGGAAGGAGAACCTGACGGTGGAGTTCAGCGTGGCCATGTCGGTCGGCACGAGCGACGCATCTGTTCCGGCTTGGATGATGAAGTTCTCGAATCTGATGCTCTGTCAAAGGAATCGAACAAGAGACTCACAACTCATGCAAGTCCTGCAATTGTGGTCTACGAGAGGATCGGCAACTTCACCTTCATGGTGATCTCAGGCTTCTGAGATCGGCTTGCACCCCAAAGGATGAGAGCAAAGAAGGAGAAGAGGATGACAAACCCAAGGAGGAAGGCCAGATAGTAACACCTCCGGGGTAGCCCCTTCTCCTCCCGCTCATCCTCGAGGAGGCCTTCTTCCTCGATGGTGGCGCACTCCTTCCACGCCTTGTCGCTTTTATTGCGGCCTCCCTTTCTGTCATCGTGGGATGACATCTTCCTGGGTCCGCCGCCGGGCTTGATGCCCCCCGAGAAGCGACTGGAGGAGGAGTCCCGGGACTGCGGGCCGACCGACGAGTGGGAGTGCCGCGGCGAAGCCATCGGGCTGAGGACCGGCGTAGAGTGGAAGGACGTCGTCGCCGTGGTCTTCTCGCCATCGTGGGAGTCCCTCGACGGGCTCTGCACGTAGTACACCTGCCTTCTCGGCGATCTAGGCGGTGATGACGCCGCTAAGCTCGTCACCTCTGAGTCTGTCTTGGCATGCATCTCTCTCTCTCTCTCTCTCTCTCTCTCTCTCTCACACACACACACACACACACTCTCTCTCTGTTTCTACTCGAGCGATATATATTAACAGCACCTACTCATGACATTATTTCCCGGTTGATTTGTCTTCGTTCTACTGATGCGGATGAGGGAAGGCTTGGAAAAGGAAGAAGAAATGAGCAGGGAAGTGGGCTTGTGTTGCAGTGGTCGCAGATGGGAGCAGCAGAAAGCATCTTTGCTTTTGGGAATGGTTTAGATTTGGGCGAGTCCCACGTTATGAACAGCAATACACCCATGTGAAGTGATTCGTTTTGACAGATCCTTCATAAGCTGGATGGCTATGATCCCTCTCCATGTGAGTACTCAACGAGTGTGACTTGGAGTCGGATTCACCATTCGACTTCTTCAGCTGCATTAATCCAAAGTTGAAGGCGTCAAAGGAATAATTGTTTAACATTCATTTCGGTTTGTTCCTGGAAAAAACAGCTTGTAAAGTAAAATTGCTCAAAAACAGAACCTCATTTCAAGGATTTTCTTGTGCTAAGATGACTTGCAAGAGGAATTTCCAGGAAACAAGAAAAATAATTCAGTACAAAACATGCATTTATCATAAACACTTCACCAATCAGACTATTTTTATTTAATCAACCAACTAGAAAAGGTAAGTGGGATTGGGCGTATTATGCAATGCAGAGTAATCTCTGATAAGTTTACTTAAAAGAAATAATTCTATGCAACTAAAATTGAATAAGAGCAATGTAAAAACACATACAACAAATAATATCCATGCAAAATATATAATTTGGCTTCAGGAAAGTTATATTTTTCCACAATAATCAGCTAGAAACACAACTTTGTCAGAAGCATCAAAAACTAGTAGCATATACATTTGCAACACTCACCTTAACAAAAATGTAAAATCTTGACTGTGGCAGAAACTTTAGCATTTCTCCAACAGATCATATTCAACTGGGACATCTCATAACATAGGAAGGAGTGAGCTTTGACACAGCACAAGTTGGAGCTTCTGCTCTGCTGAAAAGCTTAATCAAGAAGAGGAACTATAGAGAGAACATACCAGGGGGAGATTGTGGTGACCCACTCTCAAGCAGGACACTCCGACTACAGTAGGATCTTGAAGTACTCGACGAGGATTGTAAACATCTTACATCACCACTATAAGGAATCACCTCGTTTCTATGTATTCTCGCTTCGCTACTCCTTCCCCCGACATAACCATCACCTTCTTCATTTTCAGAAAAGCCGTTTTGTACTGGATCCAAATGCTCAGAGAACACCCTGAGTACTTGCTTGATTGATGGCCTTGCTCGCCCTTCTTTATGGGTGCACCATTTTATCAGCTCTACCACCATATGCAGCTGCTCAAAGTCAAATGAGTCCCCAGTAGCAGGGTCTACCAATTCAGGTAACCTTGAATCTGTTGCCAAGAATTTCTGAGACCATTCTACCAGATTCCTGTTCTCATGTATCGCTCTCCTCCCAGACACCAGCTCCAGTAGTAAAACACCATAGCTGTATATATCACTCTTCTCCGTCAACTCTTGAGTCACCACATATTCAGGATCCATGTACCCTGCATATTAATGATTCAATTATTTTCTCTAACAGAAAACAATTTGAATTTATATTTAATCTGTCGAGCAAGAAATTAGTGAGCAGTTTTGAGTTAAATGCAACAATTGCTATTTGTAGTTCAAGCTAGGCACTAAATTTAGACAATTGGTGGATAAGCAAGCAAATGAACTGTTTGGCTACATGCATTTGTAATGCTGTAATTCCAAATGCAGGAATTACAATGAGCATTGACATGTTCCAATGAGCAATTGGATAGGCAATTTGGTTAACTGTCATGTTACATAAATGATTTCTGTAATATTTGATGCTGCAAAGAGACCGAGTATCTGAACATTAAAGAATACACTATATAGCAGAAAAAGCTTAGAGAGAGAAAAAAAACTCCAGTACAATAATGACTCATTACCGTACAGAAATTATTATTCAACAACTAGAAAGACCAGAGCTATGAAGTAGTTATATTAATCATCTGATCATTTTGTTTGTAGTTTGCCATGGCTCGTATATTTAGTGTCTCCAAAGTAGATGACTTGATCACAGTAATTTGCTTGTATTAGTCTAATCCAAAATTTGAATTCAACCCTGCTAGGTAGATAACACTCCATAACAGCCAGGTATGGGGTTTTAGCAAAATGGTTTGAGCAATTATGATAGGGCTCCAAGATACATGCCTGGAGTCCCACGGATATCTGTATTTACTGGCTCAAAGCTGATTGCATCACTTCTTGAAGCATGCGCAAGGCCAAAGTCAGCTACCTATATACAAACAGTGCCATGATCCACCAAATCTAGAAGTAAAATACAGAATCAAAATGATGATAACTTACTTTGGCAACAAATTTTTCATCCAAAAGGATATTACTTGATTTTATGTCTCTGTGGCAGAGGGGAGGATCACAATAAAAATGAAGATATTCCTGCAGTTTAAAAAGATTGACGACTCTTTCAGCAAAAGCACATTAGAAGAATTATTATTTTAACAACCAGGATAGCATACAGCCTAACCAGCAACAGGTTTCAGTTGCTGCATAAGATTTCACAAAGCATCCAGGACCAGTAACAAAACCACTACAATCAACAAAAAAGGAAATAAAACAAGAACTAGAATCTAAAATTTCAGCGCTCCCTGACTGCTGGTGGCCCTCTGCCAAAGAACTTCACAATAATTATGAATGGTTTACATCATACTGAATAGTTTGTAAATCGCTTCCAATGACAAGTTCAATCAGTTCTTCTGGCTGCTATGGCGTACAGCCTAATCCATGGCAAGGTTTTAGTCAGTGCATTAGTGTTGGTGATAGAATTAAATAGCAATTACAAAGCCAAAACTTGAATTGAAGAGAGAAATAGAGAAGCACAAGTATTATTTTTAAGTACTTCCTTGCAGCTGCTTGCAGCCTTCTGCCTAAAGACATGTAAACTTTTCTTTAGCAAATAACTCGTTAGAAAGGGATCGGGTGATGTGATGAGTGCAAGAAGCATAAAACATCTGTTAGTAGCAGAATAAGTGGAGTAATAGCTACTGCATGAAAATTGACCTCTCCAACAAAGCTCCAGAGTTAGACATCAGTAGAAGATGAGACTGAAGAAGTTCAAAGAGATTCTCGGAGTTCATTCCCAGGAAAAAAAAAAAGTGTTCATTTGATTTCTTACTGGAGCAACAATTAAAGGCCATAGACAATCTCCTTCAGTTGCAGATGGCATATGCTACAATTGAGAAGTTGTTCTAAATATAGGGCAACAAGAGATGGCAGATGAAGAATGCATATCTGTACAACAACAAAAACATGCTACAGGTGCCATCACTTAGGCTTGAGTTAAAGAAGGATTGGGAGCTCCAAAGAAGTTAGCATAGAAATTCCACATGGCAGACTTCAAGCTTTGATAAGCAAGTGCACATGCCATAAACTACAATTGAAAAGCTGTTCCAAATGTAGAGTAACAAGAAACGGCAGGTCAAGTATGCATATTTGTAGAACAAACATATGCTATGGGTGCCATAATCTAGGTTTTGAATTATTAGAAGAATTGAAGTTCCAAAAAGAATACAGAAGAAATTCCACATGGAAGATTTCAAACTTCGATAAGCAAGCCTCAAAAATCCAGTGAAGACATCCTAACGTTTCCTTTGTTATGCCAATATTAACTAATTACCAGAGCATTGGCCACATCTATTGCAATTTGCAACCTTGTCCTCCAACTTAATCTTTTTCTTCCTGATGCTGCATCAGCAATAAGTATGAGACTATGAGTGAAAAAACAACTCAACATGTAACTCAAGTACAGGAAGCAACAAAGTTCGAGGGTTTACAATGAAGATGATCCTTAAGGCTTCCATTCTCCATATATTCATACACCAAAAACCTAAAACAAGGAAAAGGTATTACAGGTTCAGGTTTGATCTGAACAAATTTACAAAATCAAATTTTGTACCTCTCATTTCTCTCAGCACAAAAGCCCTTGAGAGCAACAAGATGGCGATGATGGAGTCTTGCGAGAAGCTCTATTTCCCGGCAGAATTCTTCCTCACCTTGCTTTGAAACTTTGTCCATTCGCTTTACAGCAGCTATAGGGCCATCAACAAATTGGGCCTTGTAGACAGTTCCAAATCCACCTTTACCTATGACAGTGCTAAAATTCTCTGTTGCCTTCTTCATTTCCTTATAGGCAAATCTTCGGAACATAGCTGATGGACCTAAAAGAGTTTCTCTAAGACGTATTGGTGTGAAACTTCAAACCCAACTAGTTATGTTGTGACTAGAGAAGCCCATAGTTAATTTAACAAGAGAATGAAGCTGACATTAACTTGAATTGTATCACTCATCGAGTTTGTAGCCCATCAACCTTCTTCACAGGAAAACCCAACGATCAACAAGAGTTTCACATAAAGTATCTTATAAAATTTACCAACTGAAGCAATTATCAGGATTTAAGTTTGCTACCATAGTTAGAAATTGGGAAGCATGAAAAATGTTGTTTGATTCCCAAAACCATTTCTCCTATTTCATTATTCTCAGTAATACTAGATGGTATTTTCACTTCAGTTAAACAAACTTTAAGCCTCCAATGTCTTTATAAGCATAATGAACTGAAACATAAAACAGATGTATATGAGTATAGATAAGTGATAGAACCTTCTTGACACCTCCGGACTTGATTAGGTGGGAAAGCATTCCATGAGTTTTCTGTGGGAACATTTGCATTCTTGAGTTCTCTGCTTTTTTTACGTATAAGCAGTATCAGAACCAGAAGTAAGAGAACTGTCAGGCCTATGACCCCAACACCAATTCCTGGAACCAGAGTAAGGTGGTAGGTGTGACGAATTTTGTTCATAGGAGAAGCATTTAGTTGTTGCCTTGGAGCTCGAGCAGAAATAGAACTTGGAGAAGATGTAAATTTTGGAGAAGATGTAGGAGCAAGTGATCCAGACGGTGACACTGAAACAGTCAACAAATCATAATTACTTAGGAGGAATATTTTAAAGCAAGAATATATAGGTAATTAAAAAATCAGACTAAACAGAAAATTAGTTAAAATGCAAATCTGAGCCAGTAGTTGCTGACTATCATTAATTGATAATGAATTAATGATACATTAGTATCAGAAAAAACAGTGTTCTCATGCTACCAATAAGATTGGATCGAGCAATAACACTCAAAATGCTTCAAAAGCAGTACGAAGTTTTTCCCTATAATGGTTTCTCTTAAAGGGGGCACAAGAAGTTTGTTGCATTATTTCTAGTTATCTGATTTAGGATGTTTGTAAATCATCATAATTCCTATGCCAGAGTCGGGCATCTCATTAGAATATCTCTTATATTGATGTTCTGTAGTGGCGACTTTGAAAAAAGTATACCCTCAGCCATAAAATTCCTACTAAGGCTGTAATAGATATCAGCCTGCAAAATCTCAGGTTGCCATTTTTATTTTTCCCAATTTTTCTACATAGCATATACCCTTCCTATCAGTTGAACCACCCAAGGACCATGCAGTTGCCATTACTAGCATATCCAACTTTCGCCATACTGTCCCTTGCTCTTACAACTATAAACCCTATAATATTTCTCACAGTTAATTTCAGGGGCTATTACCGATACATTTGTATGTTCTAATTGTTTATTCACCTAAATAGTTGTACCATGCAATTGCCTACTAAATTTAGAGCTTTGCAAATGTTTCTGGTAGCACTTAAATTTTGTTTTATATTTGAGAGTGTTAGTTGATCACATACTGAGGAAAGACACCTCCAGATCACTAGCTTTGATCTGACAGATGTCTTTGTCAATAGTTTTATACCACAATTGCAATATATAAACAAATGGTGGGAAAGGCTTGTCAAAACAATCCTACATTTCAGAGTTTCTATGATTTAGTAGTAAAACCCACCTCAACACACTTGTAAATTTTCAACGAGTTTGCTGAATTCTTAAGAAACCATAATGCATAAATGGCATTCAGGAACATATATGAACAATTAACCTTGGAAAGATATATGCAACTAAATCTCAAATTTATCAAACCTGGAAAAATATTAAGCCCTTGAACACCAAAGAAGCAAGCGGCCATATCAACAGCAGAAAAGTTGCCACCTTGGTTTGCAAGTGTCACAAAAACTGCATCACGACAGACACTTAATGTGATATTATCATCTGTTGCTATGAGGTGGTGAAGATATATGATGCCAGAGTTTAGGCACCTCTTGCAACTATTATCTAATGAAAGGGGAACATTACAAGTTTCAATAACATCACTAAAATTGGGAGATTGCATCATTTCCAACACAGTTGCTCTACCCTGGCACTGATAAGAAACTCGAATTTTTGGCCCCAGACCACAAAAAACAGAGGCACTAGCTGGAATGCCATATAAGCTTAAGGTTTCCGGAATGGAACTAAGGCAGCCTTCAGTGACTGCTGGTGGAACACCCAGTCTGCCAGTTGCATTTGCAAATTGAGCAATAGAAATTGCAACAATGGCATTAAGATAACGGCAGCATTTTCCTCGCTCATTTTGATTTGCACAAGCAGATGATGCTAAACTGATGTTCGACCAACTAAAGTCCAGGGGGCAATCTGCGTGATAAAAATGATCGATCATTTTAGATAAACAGAATCTATAACAGCGAAGAAGAACTTGGGAAAATAGTAGGACCACTTGGTAAATTCAAGCAAACAGCAACTTTATATCTCTATGAAAGAACAACTACTAAACAGTTTTAGATGAGTGGAGAACTGTATAAGGAAACACTAATTTTCGTGTTGACCCATGTAGTTTAACCCTTCTAATTCTTTTTATTCTAATTTTATAGTTCTTTGAGCTTTAATTACTTGATTATTTTTATCTCATTATCCACTTTTCTGTGGTCCATCACAGTGTAGCTTGCTCACTATTAATTACTGACCATTTGACCTTTTACACCATCCAACATAAGCATTCTACAAATAAGCCATATTTGGACTCAGCTGTGTGTCCATATGAAGATAACATTATTTCACAATATACACATATTTGAACATGACAAAAGGCACAAAGTTTGTAGTATCAAGAAATTTGAGATGCAGATATGGACCAGGCAAGAGGGGTGGCTCATGAAAAGAAGCCACTAATAAATATGTCTTTTGAAATAAAGTTTTAGTGAACTTTAGCATCTCAAATATTTGAGAACAATTAGTTAAGAAGATCATGTATAAAACTAAATTTATATGCAACTGGTAAAAGGTTAGACATTATATTTGAAATATTGCTTTATGACATAAAATCTACTTATTTGAATTTTTGTCCCCTTTAATCTTAAGTCACATAGATTAACATGAACAATATCTATTCCCAGCCTGCGAAAAATTTATTGATAACCGGTTGCTCCTCTATAATTCATCACACTAAACATTTTCTTTTATGCAAAGAGTAAGTAATGAATACGGGATTCGAGCCCACGACCTTTAAATAAACTATTAAGTTCTTTACCAGCCAAGCTAACTGACACTTCCACTGAAGATTTGAGTCATAAAAACAACTTTTTTTCTTACAGGGATAAGGTTTTGTATATTGGGTCTCCTAGAACCTAATTAGCAAGAGCCCATGCACCAAACTGCAATTTTAGTAGATCCAACGATATTGTCTTTTTCCATTAAATATGATATGTAGGTTACAAAATGACATGATCCATAAACAACAAGCGCTTCAGAGTATATGGAATTTGCATTGCCTCTTAACATTTTAGTCTTGGTTGCAAAAAATTGTTGGTTTCGTAAGGGAAGCTAAAGTCTTTTGTACAATTACCAATCAGATAACCAAGGACAACCTAGTAAAGGTAATGTGTGGTTACTGTAGACCTGATTTATACCATGCATACAAATCACAGTCAGCTACTATTATAGGATCACTAAGGTTCTTCGATGTAGTTTTCTCATCCAAGATCCGCATATACCCACTTAAAATCTTTACCTTGACCCTCACTAAGTCATTGCTCCAAGTGATCTGCGGTGAACTATTCAACTCCAGTATTTAATCCTGGTCCAACTATGGAGACGAAAATTGGCATGACCTGATTTAATTTCTCTTGATAACTACTGATCGCCACTCTAGAGACAATTAAAGCAAAGAATGCATGCTTGTCAGGGTAAAAGAACTCCTAAAGCAACAACTCAACTAAAGCTGGAAACTTTGATTAATCCACAAAAGAAAGAGAAGCACCACCTTAGTCGTTCTTCGCCTTTCTCACAACAAAAGGTTCACACATTACCACAGAATAAGAAGCAAACAAAACCAAAAAGCTCCGTGGGCAATGAGCTATGGAATGCAGCATCATTGTCGACGACGGAGACAAAACCAAGAGAAAGCAGCCAAACATCATTAATACGGCTCCATTTCCCATTCGAAACAAAAGAGGAATGAAACAAATGAAAACTAGGCCTTTGGCGGCCAAGCCGCATCAAAAATGGGAGAAGGAAGCGAGGAGAACTCACCCCCCGCGATCGCCCTCGATCTGCTGCGAGATCCGAGGGTAGCCAATGCCAGGAACAGGACCAGAACATAGGCGGCCGGCATGGGAAACGGAGCGAGAGAAGGAGAGGAAAGCGAGCCGAGAGCGGACTGCGGCGTCCGAGTGTGGTATGGTATGCTCACCTCCTCTCCTTTATTGGCCGCGAACCCTGAGAGCAGTCCGGGTCTGGTCACCGTCGGTGAGCCAGAGGACGCCATCCGGTTTGTTTGAGCAAAATGATCAAACCCCCCGACGTGGACCCGCGTGGTTCAGAAACGGCCGATCGGGTGCGCTGCGATGAATAGGAAACAGTTATTTCAGATGACGTGTGAGTATACTATTGACAGAACAAGTTGGTCCACTGTTGCTGGTTCATGGATATGAACTGTGGAGAAAAGATAGAATGAGATGGTGAAAAGGGACTGACACGGATGGCACGGGCGAAGCATAAAGAAGGCAGAGCGGGGAAAAGGAATGCGAATGGCTTCGGAGGCGGTCTCGGCTTTGTTTAGGCTTTTGAAAAGGAGAGTTCGCACGAGCCAAAAGAGTCGGTCCTTCCAACGTAAAATAAAATAAAATTCGATCTTTTTTATTTACAAAAAGATTTTAAAATAAGGATGAATTCTTAAAAAATTATATTTTAAGATTTTTCTGCAGAGAGTCTACTTTGATATTTTAAAAAATAATATCCCTAATTAATAAAAAAAATATTTTATCTTTTTTCATCGGAGTTGTCATCGCCTAACTCTTGACAATGATTTCTCATTGCGGGCTCGTAGCCCCACTTTATCATAGGGTTGCCCCCTTAGTTCTTGTACGAGAATTAATAATTTTTTTCTTGAAAATTTTTGCATGAAGGTTAATCATCCTTTTTTATTATATACGATGACATCTCTATTGACTTAAGGCATGTATTATCGTCATAGACTATCGAGTTTTAGTTAGAATAACAATAAAAATGATGATCGATCGAATAGGTTGGATAGAATAATCATTTTAAAAGAAAAGAATATTATTTCAAAATTTGAAAAGTAAAAGTGCTTTATCAAAAAATTTGAAAAGTAAATATTTTTTTTTTCAGGAATTCACGCTGGAAAATATGATAATTTAATTTAATTAGAATTTTTCATGGAACAAAAATGAGAACATGTGCAGCTAAAGTAGAAATTACTTTGGGAAGTGGGGTAGCGCCATAAAGTTGCTTTTTGTGAGCGTTGGTGGATGGTCAGCCTTGATGCAATGGCCTTACTCATTAGCTCCTATGATGAATGTGGCAGAAGGAAGCAGATCCGATTGATTTGACTATTTTATTTTCTTGGACAAGCTTTAAAAAGATGAGCTTTTGATTCTTTGGTCGGAATATTAAGATGGGTGCAGGCTAACATTTACATCCATAATACTATAACATTTGTAATATAATTCTGCATATATGTCCCTCAAATTATCAAAAGGGATATGGAGAAAAATGATAAATGTCTTCTTATGATTCGTGTCATCTAAACTTACAGCAGCCACAAGGATACGGTGAACCTGCAATACGAACATGATGACTAATCTCTTATGAGATCAAGAGTTAGGTTGGTGAAGTATTATCGTTGTTTCGGATATGAAATCACATGAGATAAGAAGGTATGAGATCAATATTGATGCATCATACTTACCATGTGTCACAGTACGTTCGGAAAGCAACCGAGACACTATGATGCCAATTTAGGAGAGTTGTGATGGTGATGATAGTGTGAAGGAATTGATTCCCACTTAGGTGGCGTCAATTATGATAGTTACATGTCAATATCTCATTAGTACCTATCAAATATTCTTCTCCTATTAGTTTGAGTTAGATAAATAAATATATAATAATATGAAATATGTAATACTTTTAGTATTATAATATAAATTACAAAACATGAATGCAAATTAGAGCTAAAAAATTATTATAATTGACCAAGATTAACTATAGTTATAGATATAGATCTATCTACGTATAGGGATATATATAGCTTGATTTACCCACAAAACCCCTATAATCAAATTTTTTTACCGAGGAGTCTTTTTTTAGAATTTACTAATTGGCTCCCTAAAAATGACAAAAGGACAATATTTATAGTCCCCTAAGGATTATCACATGGTATTATATGTTTTAATTGTGGTTCTACCCAAATTCAATTACAAAATTCTCAAGTTATTACCAATGAAATATTATTCATATCATATTTGCTTGTTATCTTAGATAATTGATGTAAGTTGCACAAACTTTATGATGTTCTATACATAATGAACTGTGTTGCACAATCAACCTAAAAAATATATCAAGATCAATTTTAAAAAATAAAATATTGATGTGAGTTTCAGAAACTTTATGTTGTCATAGTCATAATGGACTATGGGTATACTCAATTAGAAAATCATGTGTGGATTCTACAATAAAATATAACACATTTCAGTTATGAGTTCAACTCACATCAATTTTTCATTGTCAAAAGAACATAAAATATAAATTTTTTATTTGTTGATTTATTTTAGAGATTTTTATAATTTAATTTAATATATTTTAAAATTTTATTATATTAAATAACATACTTAACTCTCAGACATACTTGCAACCTGTCATCTGTGCAACACATTTTCATTTGATTCTATAATCAAGTGTAACACAATTAATTTATTGAGCATAACACCATAAAACACATCTAACTCGTCTCAAACTTTTATAATAAAAAAAAATATAATATAAATAATTACTTTGTTTTTTTACTTTTGGTTATTTTAGGTAATTTTAAGTCTGATTTGGGGTTTTGATTCATGTAAGTTGATGGTTAACTAATCCATCACAATGCCCCATTTAAATTGGAGATCACTATTTTGCAACCGTCTTCTTATTATTTATAATGTCATATTAAAAATTTTAAATATTCAAAAGTTATCCTATTATAGACAAATGTATCTGTTCTTAATTTATAACTTAATTATGATAAATATTTTTACTCCTTATAATTTTTTTTATTTTTTATTTTCCTTTCCTCTTAATCATCGAAAATGACATAAAATGATTAAAAAAAAAAAGATATAGAACAAAATGAGATGAACTGAATCGAATAGAAAAAGGTGAGAAATAGTTTTTAACGTTTATTAAATTGATCTAACGTTTTTAGGGTTATGTATATTATGTAGTAACCTAGAAGATATTATTTTTTTAAGACTTTGAAAATTAGCCGGTAGGATACACAAGTGGTGTGGAGAGCCAACAGCAGTACTCATTTAAATTTTGACAGCAGGAACACTCCTTAGGTTAAAAAATAAATCATGGGAACTGCTCTAGGTCAATTACTTATATATATATATATATATATATATATATATATATACCTTCACCTAATTTCTTTTTAAAAAATATTTGAAGTACTTTATATTACTGAGATGACAAGGTCAAATTTTATCATTATAAGCATGTTTGAAAAAAAGTAAATTCAAAATATATGATAAAGTTCAACATCATACGAGTATGTCATCGACATTGAATAATTGACTCCGAAAAATAACATTTTTTTTCTATTGTTATCGTTTCCATGAACCATGAGAGCCGCAGCCTACGAACTCTCATCCATCACAGCTCTTCAACTTGCGGATAGAGGCTAGACGTGGGACCCACTCGCTGTAACTTCAATGACGAGGCGGGTAGGTAATCGACTACCATGGGATCGCGAAACTAGCAAACAAGTGTTTTGGGCCGGGACACGGCCACGTGGCGGGCTTCGGATGGTCAGAACGAGGGTTACTGCGTCCGATTTCAGTCGATTCACGCCGCAGGCCGTCGCAGTCTTCTTCGACACGGCCGCAGAAGCGAAAAAATGGCCCTTCCCCCTTCCTCCTCCTCGTCTTCGTCGGCTCGGCTCTTCTTTCATCTGCGGCCAAGGTATAACCTCTTTCCCTCTCTGTTGGGTGAGTATCTGTTCGTCATATCCATTTCAATTATGTTGCAGCTGGGGGAGAGGTGCTCGGCCGACCAGGACTGCGATGGCGACCTTGGCGTTTGCGTGAGCATCCGGCCGTACGATCCGAGATCCAAGGTCCGCATTCATCACTACCCGTTTTCGATCAGTAATTTGGGGCTTTGAGTGGGGTGGTTTCGTTTCCCTGCTAATATGGGACTGGGATGTGCACAGGTGAAGGATCTGCCGTTCAACAAGTACTGGTGGCAGACGACGCACAACTCCTTCGCCAATGCGGCGGCGCATTCCGCCACCGGTGCTACCCTTATCACTTTCACCAACCAGCAAGACGACATCACTTCCCAGCTCAACGTACGCTTCTTTGCTCTCTCGCATGTTCACCTTTGCTTTCGAATTCTCTTTCCCCGGCGAGGCTTGTACGCCTTGCCGGAGCTGTCGGCATCGTACACAACCCGCGGCCCCAGAAAGTGTCTTTAAACGTGGCTACGCAGGGCGTGAGTCCGAAATAGTTTGCCCCTGGGACCCGCATAAAAGTCGGTCCCGCGCTCGTACGATGGAACAACGTCAAAGCTTTCAACCCTTCCTACGTCTTACGACTCTACGTTACGATCTAGCCACGGCACCTTGTCTCTCGGCCCAAGAGCGGGCTGGGGCGGTACCAATAGTCCATTTTTCGTGAGAAAAATTGGGACTATAGAATCTCGTAGCGTAAGATAAAATGCGAATATTTAAAAATTCAGATGATATACGTTGTATTTTTTTATTAATAATATTTAAGTAGTATTCAAAATATTATCCATTTTTCACTTTAATTTTATTTTATTTTTAAATATATATATATACTAGTTACTTCATTAAAATTTCACTTATCATTATATAGTAAATTTTAAATAAATCAAATTAAGAATAAATATAACTAAAAATAAATTATAAAAAAATAACTCAACTATATTTATACTCAATATTTTTAAGCTTACGTCTTTATGAGATAACTACATTGAGTTGACCAAAACGACAATAACTTATTCCTTCAAAACTAATTATTTACTTATTTAAAATTCGTCCAACTAAAAAGTAAAAAATTAAAGGTCAGAGATTAGGGTAAAATAGAAATATAATTTAGAACAAAATAATATTTGAAATATAAAGTACTTCAAATATTTTTTAAAAAGAAGTTAGGTGAAATTATATATGTATGTGTGCGTGATATCCATCAAAAGTATGGTAATTTTATATATACATATACATACATATACATATGTATATATATATACATATATACATATTATTTATATATACACATATATATATATATATACATATACATATACATATATATATACACACACACACACACACATATATATATATATATATATATATATATATATATATATATATATATATATATAT